ATAATACTGCCTGTTCTAGAAACTTCTAAGACTCTCAACACATGCTACCAGCGTCATTGACTCCCGCTGTCGCAACGCACTAGCGAATCTTCTAGAATATTCGTCACGTGACCCCGCTGTCGTAACACATTAGCGAATCTTCTAGAATATTCGTCACGTGACCCCCCCACTGTCATAACAGAATGTTATATACCCCCCTCTCCTCCTCTTTTGGACCTAGATATGCATGTACAAACTGTTAAAAGCTGAAATTTATTTTCTTTAACAGGATAATTTATCCAAGCTTGCATTAAAAGCATGCCATACCATCTTGTCTGATTTACTATGGATTACATATTCTACTAACCTATTGTGTTTTTGTGAAAGATTTTATAGTTGGACATCATATTTTGAGGTTTTTTATGAGCAGTAATAGTGTGGATTTGTTAATTGCTAGTTTGCCTTAATTAAGTATTGCAATTTATGAGTAATTATGAAGATTTAAGCTTATTTTATAACACAAGGTATGTATATATAATCAGCATTTTATTCATTGTATACATAACAAGCTAGTTATTAATAACATTTCAACAAACTACTCAGATAAAAATGGGCTAAAACTTTTTAAGGAATCAATGATTAATTCTATCACCATACAATTGACAAATGCATCACTACATAAAAACAATGCTGCGTAAAAGGAACTCATCAAAATCACTTATTAAAGAATTTTATTAAATAAATGAATAAAATTAAGAGAAAAAAATGCTCATACAATTGAGATTCATGTTTGTTTAATAAAGCGAATATATAAAGCAATATTTAATTGCAGTTATTTAATAGCAAAATAGATAGAACTGGTTGAATATAAATTGGGTTTATAGTTTTCTTCTATTTTAATACATAAGTGGGTTTATCATTATTAGGCCATACATCTGTTTACTGTATGATTTTCATTGTTAGAAGTGCCTTCTGTCTGGCAAAGTGATCAATGATTGTACTGAAATCCAAAATATGGGTTAATTGGTTTTCAATTGCAATAGTTCCTAGATCTGTCAGTCAGTCATGGGCAATGGTGGAGTGCAGATAATTTTTATCAGTTTCAGCTTGCTAAAAGTTCTCTCCCCTTCTGCAACTGTGGCTGGAATTGTGCACAAAATGCGAAGGACTACAGAAACATTTGTGACAAATGGATGTAATCTGAATTTCTGCAGTTTATTTAGAAGAACTAAATGATCTAATGCAGTATTATCAAAGTTAGCTTTGTGGATGGTCTTTAGATATTTAATTTATTCCACTAAATCTTATGATATATCAGATCTATATTTGGCAACAAACTCCATCATTTTTGAATGTAGATCATTCTCTGATATATTTAGATATTGCCACAAAAAAAAGAAGCAAGCCCAGCAATAACAGAATCTATGATCTTATAAAATGTGTTTCATCTAAATTTTGTCTCCTTTACAGGTTTATTTTCTTCACAATTAGGCAAAGGGTCATCTTTTTTTCATCATGAAAATACTTGGGAACTGTCTTCTGTTTTGAAGGCAGTTGTGATAGAATATTCATATTATTTGCAACCAATTTAGCTTCATTAAGATATGAGCTCCAATGTTCATTCAGTGTTTTTAAATCAGTCAAAAGACATTCAATTTTGCTCACTTCAATATTAATGGTAGCTTTGCAGGCCTGCAATACTTGATCACAAGTACTTTTAACCAGATTCAAGCCATCGAGATGTAAGAAAGTGACTGCACATAGTCAGTTATATATTTGACTTCAGTTCTTGATTGAGATGTAAGATTGAGTTGAAGAATTTCTGATAGTGCATCCAGAATTCCAGGAAGATGAGCTTCAAATGGCCTGACACCCAGTCTGTCCATCATGTTCTCAAAAGACTACGAAGAGAACAGCCTATATACTTGAGAATAATGCTCTACTACTGTGAGCTACAACTAAATAGATTATAAAGCTTTTGAATTATTCCAAAGAATGTCTGCTGCTTGTGTACCACATGGTGAGAATTTAGCCACAGGATTAACTTTTATTAATAAAACTTCAGCACCAGCCATATTGGACCCTTTGTCATATCCTTGGGTTCTGCAATCCATTACTGGTATTTCATGATTAGCTATGAAATTAACTATTAGATTAGAAATATCAGCCCCAGTATTTTTATTGCAATCAATAAATCTTAGAAACCTTTCTTGAATGACAACATAATAACATTCTGATGGCATGGATACACATGGGATAATAGTTGTGTGTTCTTGATGAGATGAATCAGGTGTTACATCTACTACAATAGCAAAGTATTTTACTAAAAGTCTTTCCTCTAAAATAATGTGATGTATATGCTGAGCATGGATTGCACTATGAATTTGTTATGGGACTCACCTGACACGTAGAGGGCTTGAAGATCATAACCTGCCCACTGAAATTCTACAACTCCCTCTACATGCTCCCTTACAACTAGATTGTAATGTCTGAGCAGCTCAATTATTCCTAAAATATTATTGTTATCAGACATACCAATCCTCTGTGATGGTCCATGAAAGGCTAAACCTCTCTTCCCTCTTTAGGGTACCCTTCCATTTGGATTCTCTTGAAAGAATATTATTCTCAAGCTGCAAATCAAGCTCCAAAATGTCTCTCAAACTCACACCACTAAGTATGACATTTCTTATGATGAACACTTCTCTGATGCTCTGGTAGTCTATCATAAAGTTTCTTCTAGTTTGTTGTTAGTAGTCAGCCTTTTGTGATGCAACTGGGATCTTGGCAATAAGTTGAGATGGAAAAAAAGTAAAAAGCTTGCCTAATATTGCTCTAAACTAGCCTGTCACATTTACTGTATTCAACATTTTGCAGCAAAGACTTTAGAAGAAAACTTGGATTTGGAAAATATTTAGGGTGTTATAGAGGCCCAGCTCTAACAGCTAGCTCAAGGTTTTCAGTTGATACACTCTCATCAGTTAAGGTACCAACATCAAGCCATTGAACTGTTGTGGCTTTTCAGGAACATTTGTTGAAAGTGTTCCTCCAGTAGTGATTACATTTAGCTGTAGACAGTCACTCTGCTTTTCTGTAATAGAATATGTTGTGAGGTTATCATTGTCATTCATATTTGTATCATTTGACATTTCATTATGCTCAGTTGATTTATTCAGAGTAATACCATTTGCTTCGTGGTAATTAATGACATCAGACCCTAAATGGAAAGCTTTGGACTGATCTTCAGTTATATTTTCAAAGTCAACAACAAAAAGAGTTGCCTTCCTCTATTTTCAGGATACTTTTTCTGCTGTTTGAATTTCCTTTTTTGTTCACCAGATTTAAGCTTATATTATTGAGACATTCCTCAATTGGAAAGGAATTTTAAGTTGAAAAAAAAGGAATAAACTAAAAATCTTTGATATCCTTTATTCATCAATATATATTCAAACAGCAAAATGAATTCTGGGTATATATATATCTAGAAACACTATTCATAAAAATTTTTCAAGCGAATGTTAGTAATCAATATGACTAATATTCAAGTATTTCCACTCTTCTTGTGTAAAAAATAATAATGAAAATGCTTAATGAAAAAATAATGCAGTATAGGTATAAATATATTTATATATATTTCTTACTATGCATATTTTTTTCATATATAATAAACCATACTATCCTGGCTATTTTAACAAGAATATCAGAAACCTACCAATGAAGAAAAAGTCCATTTTATGTGCAGGTCAACCAGTTTCTAGTGCCCTCTAACTTTGGTTAAAGTTCAAAGCACATGCCATCAGCTTTTGTAGACTTACGTTCATAATTAAAATGAACCTCATTATTATTGACTTCTATGAACAAACTTGGTATCAAAACATAGATAATAAATCGAGTTTAATGTCTTAATCTGCTAAGAAGATATCTATATAAAATCTTAAATTCATGTTATAGACGATCATGATGTAAGTTCTCTAAATCTTCTGTCTTTGGTAACTTACCTAGCATCCCATTTTGAAGTACAAAGTCTAACTTAAATTGAGAATATTATACTATGGATATTCCATTGAGAAATATAATTGTCCTAAGCTTGAATCTTCTTTGTCCATGGAGCTATAAATTAAAAAGTGAGATGCACTTGCCACGGCCACCTCTAACATACTGTGTTTCAGAATTAGCCAATAAATAACTCTGATGCTTTACCTCATCTGATTTATATCCAATAGAAAGACAAAGTTTTAATCTATAAATGGAGTAAAAATTCATGTTTGTTTGCTATGGTGTAAAAGACATAGCTCACTCAGTTTGAACATTTCTGTGAAACTGTTCAGAAAGAGTATCTAATGGATTTTTTTAAATTGCTTATGGAATAATTAGAAAGCCAGTTAAATTATATTAGTTATTGTATATTTTTGGCTTGTTACTTCTTATTATACTGTGTTCTTAGGTGCATTTTGAAAAATAAAAAATATTTAGTGTACCAGAAGCATGACTGTAAAAGTTTAATGCCTATATTTGACAGAGGACTGACAATAAAATGTGCAAGCTCATGAACTATGTAATTAAATACAGCAGGTTGGGCTAAGCACTCACAGAGTTATACAGTTATACATGGTTCAAAGGGAAATAAGACAATAAAATTAAATAGAAAAAAAAGATATAAAATGTTACAAGCCATAAAGTATTTAGGATAAACACACGTAGTTTTGAGTTACAATATGCAATCATTCTACAAAGCAAAAATGGGTAATTTAGAGTTATTTCATATTTTTTCATGGTGATTACAAGGTCAGTCAAATCTTAAAGGAACATTTTATGAGAAAGTCAAGTCAGGTGAAATGCAAGAAATGTAATTCTATGCCTATTTCACAACTCTCATAATGACATAAAACTCTAAATTGGACAACTATCACATTTAGTTTATAACACAATGATTTACTCTAATATTCTATGTTAATATTAATCAAAAGCAAGTTTGTATATCTAAGAAAATACAATGATGTGGGTTGAACTACTTTACTTGGAGCTGGAATGGACAATGGTATTGTGACCACCACATTAGAGAGTTATTCAAATTGAAAACTCAGCTGCCCCTTCATTGGGTTACACACAATAGATTATCAAAATTATTTGAAAAATCTGACAGTTCTGGTATACAACAACAAAATTCCTCATGGTTAACTATTGAAAATAACAGATGTAACTGACAAGTGTTTCTATGAGCTTTGGGAAGGTGGTATATAGGGTGAATTAAATGACATGACATTGTAATAGCATAGTTCATAGTATTTTTCTCATACACTGCACTTTTGTCTTCTGAGGTTGTTTGTGGCAGTGCATATTTTAACTGTTGGCAATGAACGATAATCTTTATAATATTTAGATTTGTTACTTATATTGTCTCTCTGTTATCAAATCAATTACTTTATTAATATTTTTTATTTTATCTTCCATTTTTTCCAGGCCACCTAGAGGACTAGGCCCCAGGGATTTTTCCTGAGTATCCCTACTCTCTCAGTGGACCTGATGTCAGGAGTAAAGTTCACAATTATAGAATAGTAATTCACATGTTTAAGTTTTAAAACAACTACATAAACAGCTTCTTTAAGAGCATCTGTTTTGGCTCATTTTAGATTTTAGGGCTCAAACAATGATGAGTTGGTTCATTGTTTATGAAAAACATACTCATGTTTGGCACAAACTTTGGCACCAATTCCACTTAAACTAAACAAATTACATTACCATGGTGATTTAGTTTGTTGACAGTTCTTTGAACAGTTTAATATCTCTCTCTGTCAAATGTATATATTATTACTGCAATTATAATATGCAAAATATTGCAATAAATATTTTTGTTAGGAAAAGATTTAAACACAATAGAAGAAAGTTGCAATATGGCATACTTTTAATGCTGAACTTTCCCTTAGTCTTACTGTTCACCACACTATGTTGCTACCCGTGGGTCATACTGGACACAAATACAAGTAAAAAGTTCAACACTCTAGAAATTCTAGAAACAGTAAATAAGTAGTATTGTTCTGTACTTCTTGTTTTAGCAGAAATTAATATTAGCACATAAGATGACAATGGAAGGTGTGAACATTTGGTACTATAGAGAGCTGACTGCTAATGTTTTTGTGTTCCATAGGTGAAGTATACTACATTATTTCTGTATTGCTTCTTTCATTTGTAATACTGATTACAATATTTAATTTTTTAATTTTATTGCTTTTCAATTTTATCTTTATTATTATTCTTTTATCATAAAGATTGATTTGCAGTGTTAGCTTAGTATATGTATTTAGGACTAACCTAAATCTCCTAGGCTAGCTAAACTTCGTGAGATATTATTGGGATTATGGTCAAAAATGTTGTTAACAGCACCAACAGAGGGTACCCATCTGATAAAACAATGCATTCTTTATAAATAAGAATGTAAGAAAAATGTATTTAGCTATACTCATTACTAATACCATGTTGATATTTAGTTTCATTCTAAATAGGTAGCTTGCTCTTATTGGAAGTTAATATAATCTATTCTCTCTTTTTGCTCTTTTTATTCTGTCTTTGCTGGATATAGATGCTGATTCAAACCTCTCTTCAGTCAACCTGATCTTCACTGAATAGGTAAGATCAAACAAAATTATGTACATTTACTTATTATTTTCTTAAAAGCATGCTTAAAAGTGTTTCTAATGAGAATTTAGAATTAAAGGTTCTCCATACATGTTGAAGTTTGTCCAGTTTGTGCTGAGAACATTAGAAGTAGAACAGTGATGATGGTGTTCTAGGTATACCAGCAAACGTACACAGGTAAAATATACATTACAGAGGTAGGTAAACCAATTAATTTCAGAGCTTAGAGAAAGGCTGCTTTACTGAATCCATTGTGGAACCAACATTATTAAGATGTAACACAAACAGCATTTAAGTGGTGAAAAATACTAAAGTTATTGTAATACTCCATAATACTCCTGTTAACTTAAAACATGATAACAACACAGTAAACTTGACAAAAGCTATGGTTATTTTCAATATAATGGCAGGATTTACTTACAGTTTGTTTCTATATTCTCTTCCACAGTTGTAGTCCAAGCAATTCCTGGTGATCCAGCTACAGTTTTACACATCATTTTCAGGCTTGTTGAAAGAGGGACTAGATAAACTCCTCCAGGACCTTCAGGAACTAATGAATCATCAGAAAAAGCCACAAACACCACTACTTGATCTGGGTCTTAAATTTGGAAGAAATAAAAAAACTTATAAGCAGACATAAAAAATTTACATGCTCTACATGCTCTGTCATGAACTTGGTAGGATCTAGCAATTAATTTAGATGAGAAAGATTTATGACCAGATGCCAATCTTCAGTCTTCTTTGCACAGCAAACAGACAGGAAGAACAGGATCAACTATCTCCACATGCCCCCTTGACCAACAAATCCCTGATAGCTGTGGAATAAAGTTCCGAAATCCAAGGATCTGCAGGAGGCGGAAACACTACAGGTTGGGGGAAATAATGGAGGTGGAGATGTGAACTGAATGACAAATCCTGATGCAAGGGCCTGTAGTACCCATGGATCCATGGTAAAGGTTTTCCACACATCCAGAAATTCTCGGAGCTGGGTCCCCACAGAACCCACTGGTGGCATTCCGACTGAGCAGATGAACCTCGTGGATATGGGTGGAATCTATTTTGGGTACCAATGGACTGAGAGACTGATGTCAGAGACCAGAACTTTCAAATATGGGCTGAACTATGACCTCCTATAGGAGCCATGGAAAAATTGACAAGCCAATGATAACAGGGGTGAATGCAGAAGGGTGAAATCAATCCTTTATTCCAAAAACTCTGGAGTGCCTGAAAAAAATCAAGGGTTGGATAAAGGGGGTCTCACATAACTTACGGAGGATGGCAGCAGGTAGATGAACGCCCTCCAACAATGCAACTCTACCAAAAAAATTCCAACAACATATTAGCCAAGAGACTATATAAAATGTATAAGTTGACAATCAAGCCAAGATGGATGCCTACAATGGTCCCAACTCATCATCAAATTGATGTGGCGATCACTGAAAGGCTTCCAAGAAAGGTGTAGGGATGATAAATATCTCTGAACCATAGTTAGGGTCAGATGAATCCTAGAAAATTCAGGTTTATGCAGACTCTGTTCTGGAACCCCACATTTCCAGGAATGTGTCTATTATATGATAGTCTAAATATGCTTTCACCTGGCAGTGGTAGGCTAAAGCATGCTTTTCTGACAAACATGGTGGATAAGGCATAACTGTCCCTTCACGTAACTGAGCATGAACCACAATATTAGTGGATGGAGGAAGAACTAAGTATTCACTCTCAGACCTTTTTCGCCATCAAGAAAGGCACAGACTCAAAAGCAACCAGGGAAAGACTAAAAACATCACACACTTGATTTTTCAACAGAAAGAAAGAAGCCAGAGACAGCTGATCTAAATTGGCCTCATGAAAAGCCAACAGAATAAAGGAAGGTGCTACAAAAACCAAATCTAAATTATCTCCAGAATGTCCAGGATTGCCAGCAAGTGCAGCTTCAGGGCCTCCAGAGAACCAAATGTATGTCTCCATCTCACTACGAATATGGTCACAGACGGCCTCAACCAAGAGCAACTCCTCCCCCGATTCTTGAGCAATGCTAAATATCAGAGAAAGATAGAGTGGGATAGGAGAGACCTGATTTGCCTCCATGCCAGATACATTAATACGGGAATTCATGCTGTATGTCGACTTGCCATATGATTTTTTAAAGAAAACCAAATAGGTAACACAAAGAATCAGGGGTGATTGGAAAAAAATTGCAAACAATAAAAAATGATGAAAGTATCTCCAATAGTCATACTACAGGGAAACCCATTAGTGAACACAATATTATCTGAAGGAGGTGCTTATATACAGTACCAGGATAGAAGGTGCATTGACGTAAGATGAGACAGATATTACCATGAGCAATTAAGTGGGGAATAAAAGGCTGGAGCAAGTGAGAAACAATCAGACAAATCCTTAGATGGGTAAAGGAAAAGAAACAATAGCAGTTGAGTAATAACTGTTGTATGAGGTATGTTTTGGAAATAATAAAAGCAAGAATAAAATAAGAAAACATGACTATCACTTTAAACAAGTATGAATTAAAACAAACAAAGTAATTTCGTCCTTCTGGTTTGTCTGTTGAGTTTTACACAAAGCTACTTGTGGAGTAACTGTGCTAATCATCATTAATTTTGAAGTGATAGGCTAGAAGAACGACAGCTAATTACCACTACCTACTGCAAACGTTTTGGGCTACTCTTAACCAACAAATATTGAGACTGAATATCACATTATAATCACCTCATGGCTAAAAGGGTGATCATGTCCAGTTGCAGGGTTCTATTCTGCAACTTGTAGATTGTGAGTCAAGAGTCTTAACCAACAGGCCATGGCAGGCCAACTTATTTTGGAAAATTAATTCCAAATCTGTTTAAATTTGAGGTCTCAAATTAATGAAATAACAATCAATTTAAAACAACAGACAAAGCAACTGACATTATATAAGTAAAATCTTAAAACCATGTCTCATGTAGTATTAAATGTAAGCATCTTTGTACTAATGACAGCAAAGCACTGTGTGCAATATAAATTTTTGAGTTATACTATTATTTATGTTAATCTAATGGAAAATGAATTTAAAAATCATAAAGCTTACATTTTCCAAACCTGAAAATGTGTTTCAGATAAATACTTAGCTCTCTCTGCCACAAACAGCTATTACCTAATGTGCAACTGTTTTGAAATTTACTACACATGCCACAATCCTTTAATCAACTCCCACCCCTACACTTTTCTATGTGTATTGTGCCAACCTATGACAGAATGGTCATAATGCTGTAGGCCTCCATCAATAGAAGGGTGACATGAACTCCATGAGCAGTAATTCCCATGAGCTCGTTCTTGATGAGGCAAAAACAATGCATCAGAAGCGTGAAGGAAGGGCAAGAAGGTGGTGCAGAAATGTATCTATCTGAAATACATTTTCAGGTAAGGAAAATACTAACTTCAGAAATGTTACATCTGTGTCTCTGCATTACTAAGAGATAGAATTTCACATTGAAATGGTGGAGGGTCTGATGCTCATCAATTATAAAGATAATTTCCTTTCTAAAATAGCAACAGAAAAAGAAAGCCATGAGGTGTGACTTCCATGAGACAGGGGGTTACCTAGTGGAGCAGCACAAGATAGGAGACCTCATCCTTCTTAAGAAGGGAATACTGTTTGCCCAATAACTTCTCATTGATATATTTCATGTACAATACAAAGAGATTTACAGTAAAGAATATATAGTAAATCCATTGCCAGTGGTAGCATTTCACTACAGTGCTTGGAATGTCAGAGTGTATGGTATGGCTAAGGTGTTAGGCTATTCTGTCTTTGTGAAATACTTTAATGCCATTGTAATGATAGTTGGAGGGTGGGGGGCTCTGTCCTGCATCCCAAGACAAATTGAAGTCCCATCTAGCTGGACATATCCACCAGGAACTGCTTAGGAAATACTGTAATGGGGTGTTCTATACTATACTTCCATGGAACATCCCTGCCTTACATCTCAAATGAAAGATGGGCCCAACTGGTCTCTTACTCTGGAAGGTACTATTCACAGAGGAAACTCTTCATATTGACCTCCCCAGTGGTTTGGGACTGGGAAAGCAAGGGTTCTCCCATGCTCCACTAGAAGAACAGATGTGGAGTAATATGCAGAGGAGAGAGTACTGGAGAGCATTTGGACCACAGTCATCAGGACAATCATCTAGAATTTGGAATGGGTTACTACAACTACAAACAACAAGTGTGAGCCAGGTGTAAGGTGTGGAAATGATTATGTCAATTATATAGATACACTGATGAAGTAGTCTTGCAAAAAATCCCACCTTAACAGTGGGTATTGAGCAGGAGCAGATAGGTTTAACACTCTCTTTTCTCCCTCTTGCTTGATGCAAATTTTGGATAAATGAAGCAATTGTTGGATATACAAGACTGTTAAGTTTAAGAGTTATAATTTAGTTTATTTAGTGATTTACTATTTAATGATTATTTAGTTTTCATAACAAGAGTGTTAAAAGTTTAGCTATGAAACTCTGTACGAATCATACATTGAGTATGAAGTTTAATTGTTGTACTAGGCTTTTGTAATATTGTTGACATCATCTTACTCGAAGCTTCTACATTTTTCTCATTATGTGTCATACTATTGTTACTAGAGGGTAAGATATTTCTATATTTTTCTGTCACATGTTAAAAATATGTGCACTTACAGAGAGCAGAAAGTAAAGCAAGTTAATGAAAGTGAAGTTAGCCTGCATGTGAGTTTAGCCATAATGGGCGATTTCTAAAGTGAGTTTCACAGTTTGTATTATAATAACAGAGATAGAGGAGGATATTATATCTTATCAGAGGGTGTTCTAAAGTAACTGAACCTGTCTCTGTGGACTTTGACGAAAAGGAGACAAGCTCTGGATACAACTGTAGTAACTAACAGTTATAGTGGTGATTTTGAAGTGAGTTTCATAACTTATATTATAACAAGAGAGATAGAGAAGAATAATTTGTCTTGTCAAAGTGAGTTCTAAAGTAATTGAACTCGCCTGTGTGGACTTTGATGAAAAAGACAATTATTTAAAGCTCTGGATACAACTGTGATAGCCTATAGTGTGAAGAATTTTTTGTACATTTGTTTGATATGTTTTGAATATATTACTTCAAAACAAGTGGATTTATCTCCAATAAGTCACAGACACCTACTGTAAAAAATCTGGCCTGTTGACAAAATTTCAGCCAGTCAGCAGTTCCTGAATGCACTAAACATAAGGAACATAGGGTGTAGTTCCTTAAGCAACATTTGATCTGGTGAGTTTTGCTTTTTTTTATTACTTAGTTGAGGAACTTGCAGTGTGTTGAAATGTGTAATATATCATGGCACACACATATGGAGGTGATATGAAACATATGAATGATAAGGAAATGACTGGAAAGCAGTTGAAACATGAGAGCCTCTGGCTAGACTGGAGAATGGCAACTAAAGGGAATTGAAAACCAGAGGAACAAGACTCTTCCCAATGATTCAAGTAATGTGCGATGAATATGTTAGATATAGTTCACATAACACCCATTCAAAGGCCAGTGGCAGAAAGAGGCAAGAGAGGCTCTGTTATGCCAAATCTAGTGGG